GTCATGAAATTCTCTGTAAAAAAGTGTCCATATAATGTCGTAGTTATAATACTCCACCTATAATAATAACCAAGATAATTGCACTTATTGGTTTTACGATATTTTCAATTTTGCCCTCTAGGGGAAAAACAAAAGACGATAGCGCTATGAGGTTTTCGGCATTAGCAGTTTCTGAAAAACGAGATCATGACATGTCAGCTACTTTTTTTCTAACTCTTATAGTTTTCGAGTTAGCCTATTCGGACATCGAATTTGAACCACCCTGTACTTTCACCCTCGATTTTATTGCTTTATAACATAGTTGCTATAAATATTTTTTTCAAAAACTGCTTTTGTCCACAACTACTTTATAAATACAGGGTGAGTTTTTTTCCATGTTTACTTACTTATTAAATTTAATAAGTTACTTATAAATTTAATTTCATGTACTACCACCCTCGATTTTATTGCTTTATAACATAGTTGCTATAAATATTTTTTTTAAAAACTGCTTTTATCCACAACTACCTTATAATTTATAATACAGGGTGAGTTTTTTTCCATGTTTAGTATGGAGATCTTGAAAACTAGCGGAGATAGAGAAACGATTAAATAGGGAAAAAAATTGCAGTTTTATGAACTCAATTTAATGAGCTTTTTGTTTTTTTGGATAAAATGCATGTCTAACTACTATCCGTGCAAATACTCACTTTAGAGATCGATATCTTCGTAACCGCACGATGGAAAAAATTGCGGTAAAGTTTATTGTAATCAGTGAACATTTCTGCGTATCACATGTTAATTTGGAACTTATCGCGAATTAAGTGAAAAAAGTACCCGATTTTTGAGAGTGCCAGCAACTTTGTCTACTTTGCGATTTTTTTCTCCAAAACTATTTGACGAAGAAATTTCAAATTTCAGCTAGTGGTAAACCGATGTGTTCTTAATGCGGGGCATATTTTATTTTTTCAATATTCCATATAATTTCGCGGAAAATCGCGGTTTAGTAGGATGCTGTTATTTCGAAAGCGACCTGGCGGATTTCAACGTGGTTTTTACCAAAATATGTCAAATAATGTCGGTTGTCGGATTCCGTTATCAGTTTTTCAAAATTAAGGCTCCCTAATTTTTTAAGAGCGATTTAATGGAATTACAAATTAAAGACAAACAGAAATATGCTATGCGGGGAGAGGAGGGTTCCTTCCAATCGAAACAGATGGTGTGTCTTAGACAGTACGTCGCGCCTTTATCTTACCTCCATAAAGAAATAAGGCGCGACGTCCTGTCTGGGACGCACCATCTGTTCTGATTGGTTTCTCTTTAATTTGTAATTAGGGAGCTCAAATTTTGAGTGGCCTTGACTTTTTGCACGGATAGTAGATATCTCGAAAAACCGTTTTTTTGTTATATCATTCCGTAATTATTGATTTTAGGAAAAATGTGTAAAGGAATAATTTGTAGTTAATTTTTCAAACTATTGGGAAGTTGGTTACAGTTGGTAACATTGAATTTGTGTCACATTGACGTTTAGACTTTATTCAAAAATTTATTTAACAAAATAAATTTGTCCACGACTACCTTATAATATATACCTTATAAATGAGTTTTCTAAAACAAAAGGGTAGTTATTTTTCACAGAGTGAATAATAGCGGTGAATAAGCATTATTCATTTGACAGACTAATAATTATTGGAAACGTCAAAATTTCACAAAACGTCAATTAATTTATTTTTTTAGGACTTTCTAAAGGTTTGACATTAAAAAAAAACGTAAACAAATTCCTTTTTTCGTATGATTTAACCATAAATTAATTAATTTTCGTGAAATAAACATGACGTTTCATAAAATTGACATTTAATTTTTACAAATTATTGTGAAGTTGGTTACAGTTGGCAACATTGAATTTGTGTCACATTGACGTTTAAACTTTATTCAAAAATTTATTTAAAAAAATAAAATTGTCCACTCCTACCTTATAAATGAGTTTTCTAAAGCTAAAGGTAGTCATTCTTCTTTTTGTAATTAACTTGACAGACTAATAATAATTATTTCAAACGTCAAAATTTTAAAAAACGTCAATTTAATTTAATTTTTTAGGACTTTCTAAAGGTTTGAAATTAAAAAAACGTAAATATATTCCTTTTTTCGTATGATTTAACCATAAATTAATTAATTTTCGTAAAAAAAAACATGACGCTTCATAAAATTGACATTTAATTTTGGCAAATTGACGTTTAAAGTGTATTCAAAAAGTCTTTTGTAAATCGCGACGGTAATGAAAGCTAGTACAGTCCTCAAACGGGTGCTGTAATGAGATTTTAGTAATATTTTATGGAACCAGTTCAAGTTGGTGACATTGGGCCATTAATTTTTCTAGTTGTCAATGTGACAATTTGAATGAAGGAGTGCTTTAAGTCTTATGAAACGTGTTTTTATGCTTTTTTTAACAAAAATAAAATAAATTTTGACAATTTAGGGAAATATGTAGGTATTTAGCAGTAAAAAAACATTGTCTAATTTTCAATTCAAGTTTCTATTTTCAAGTGTTACGGTATTACCAACTGCTACATTTTACTACTGTCAAATTATATTATTTCCCTACATTGATAAAAACGCGAATTACAAAAAATAGCATAAAAAACACGTTTCATAAGACTTAAAGCACTCGTTCACTAAAAAACTCGAATTCGTACATTTCAAGCTTATGTTACGAAACTAGTTTTTTAATATACTATTACGTCCTGGACGTAAAAGATTTACGTCCAGCTACGACAATCAAAGAATTTGTTACTATTAATTGTTAATTTATTGTTATGAACATATTATAAACACAAAATAATCAACATTTAATTGTTTTATTATTTCATTTTATGTTTAAATGTAAATTTATAATAGTACATTTGTTCAATATGTGAGGTTAAGTCGATATGACATTTAATTTTTTTGCATTTGCTAAAGCTCGCAAAAAAAGCTTTCGTTCTCGAATGCAAAAGTGCCATTTCCCTATCTGGTATCAAAAATAACTATTTTGGTATGATTTAAGCATAAATTAATTAATTTTTGTAAAAAAAACATGACGTTTCATAAAATTGACGTTTAATTTTGACAAATTGTTGTGAAGTTAGTTATAGTTGGTAACTCTGAATTTATGTCACATTGACGTTTAAACTTTATCTGAAATAAATTTATGGAATCAATTTCAACAATAGTCATGGACAAAGTATAATAATAATAATCTTTATTCGATGCAAATACATAAGAAATTACAACATGTCATAATGTCACCTAATTAGACCGGATAAATTTATCAAGAGGTGGTAAAAATGGGCCTAAGTGACGTTTGTATTTTTTTGTTGTTGCTAAAAAACATTATTGGTCAAAACTGTCTGTTCCACCCTTTGTTTCATTGTATGTATGAATGATAACTGGTTTATGTATATGTTAATTGATACTATTGTCATGATGCATTGTGGAAAGAAGAAGTGACTTTGAGTCTCAACCTCGTCATCGTCCTTGCCACTTTCTTCTGTGTAGCTAGCAGATTGCTCTACAATATAATCCGGATCTTCATCAGAAAATGTCTTCTTCATCGCTATTGTTGCCGCTACACTTATTAATATCTTAATCTTGCCATATCTTCTCTCTTCTCCCTCTCTATATACTAACAGGTGTATCTACTGCTTAAACCAATGGCGTGCTGGGTATCTCAGACCCCAGTGTGCAGTTCCACGATTAAATTTTGAACTTAACACTAATTAAATGTTATTTTGTAGATACAACGTGAAATAGATGTGGAAAATTTCGACCCAATTAAAAAATCAATCGGTGAAAATAAATTAGACCCAAAAAGTCAACTCCTAAAAATGAAACATATGGGACAACTCTGGTTAACAGCTGAAGTAAAAGATTTAGAGACTCGAGTTAAAGGAAAACCATCGCTTTCACCTTATTTAGTAATAGACGCCGATTCATTAATATTACACACTCAAATGGTGAAGCAGCTAGTTTATTCAAGAAAATTCATCGTTTTAGTCCCATCAGCAGGTTTGAAAATCCCATTAATTTAATAATAAAATAATCTAATTAAAAAAATTAGTTGTTTCAGCTTTGGATGATTTAAAATCGGAAAAACAAGAAGCTCGCGATGCGATTCGTTGGTTAGAATCGCAATTTCATCAAGGGAATCGTTTTTTCCGATGTCAAAGACCGCAAGAGCGAGCTCCAATTCCTTATATTGTCTATCCGAAAAAACGCGACAAGGAAACGCAAATTTTTATTCAAATTATTGAATGTTGTCATTATTTGGCTCAACAACAAAAAGGTGCCAGTAATTTAGTAACACTTTTGGTGGGAAATTCAAACGTTAACGAGACGGCTAATAACAAAGTTGAGAATAAACTGAGTTATGTTGGTTTGGCGAAAACGGCCGGGGTAAATTTGGAGGGAATTGTTGAGTTTTATGGGAGATGGAAGAGGAGTGTTAAAGGAAAGAGATGAAAAAGAATTATTTGGCATAAAAATGGGTTAAATGGTGATGATATATTGAGATAAAAGAAGTTTTTCTCGATATATGGAAGTTTTGAAGTGAGTTGGTGAAGATAACCTCCAAAGAAAAACGCTTTCTTTGATTACTTTGAAAACAAAAAAAGAGACTATTCTTTCTTAAGACTATGACTATTCTGTACTCTTTAAACTCATCCTTATTTTTTAGCATCTGTCGTACGTTTTTATTGTTCTTTACTTTTTTTTATTTTTTTAATCATCCATAATTTTCCATTTATTTTGGTTTCATTTACAATTAATTTCATCTTAGTTTTGGGTTTTTAATTTTTTTTTAGTGTGTACTATTATAAAATTAATTAACGTTAACTTAATTCTCTCTGTTATTAGGATTTCTCTTTGTAAAATAAAATTATTAAAAGTTTAATGTCTTAAAGAAACTTGTTGATTTTTATCCCAAATTAATAATTTATTACCTTCTTTTTTGTGAAATTCGCAGCTCAAGTAAGAACTGATTTGATTAATTGAGGTTACGATGAAAAAATGATTAAGTAAAATGAAAGGAATTGAAGTTTTGCATAATCGTGGGATATGTTACGAATAATAATTATAAAAATTTGTTTTTGTATTAATAAAATGTTGTAAATATGTTAGAATTCATTAAGTATTGTTGACTGTTTACGTTTTTTATTGTATTTAATCCATATAAAGTCGATACGAAATAATTTTGTAAAATTTTTGACATTAACATAACCTCAAATTTCATTTTTCACTAATTTCTTATTGTAATTCATGTTTGTGCGGTTGAAACGATTGAAAATGATAATCTTAGCATGCCAAGAACTAAAACCATCCATCATATGGGAGTTTTGATGAAGAATTGGACGAAAATCCGTAGATTAAATATTTGAATATATTTTTGAAGCTGAACGTTGAAATCCAAAAGAAAATGTTCCGAAATCAACAAAACAAAGTTAAAGCAATAAAACTACAACATTTCATGCATAAATATTATTAAAATAGAAATTTCAATAATTTTTGATTAAATTTAATTGGTGACATTTGACATTTCGAAGTTGGCTATACCGGAGAAATTTAAATTACGAATTTCAAGTTGAAGAATTTAACCAATCAGAAAACGTTATTTAAAACGTTCTTGCAATAAACAAACGAAACTGGTAGATTTTAGTGTGATTTCGAACGTGGCGAGGAGCGTACGCTAATTTTTGTCCTCCTTCAGTTAAATAACCAAAAGAAAAGTTAGGTTACTTAAACACAATTGTGACATAACCTCAAAAATAGAAAACTTATTATTTTAATAAGTTAAATAAGAAGATTATTCGAATTAAAATTAATCATCTTTAATATTAAAAAAGAAAATTAACTGGTTCCTGATCCAATTGATACCATTCCGAAGAATTTTCCAATCCAATCAAGAATTATTGTTTCCAATTTCTTTGAAGAGTCCAAGTTTCCTTAATCGAGAACTTCAGTAAACTACAAGATAAGCTAAGTTATACTTTCGAATTTTATTATTATTCGTTTTTTATTTCAATTTTCATTTAAAATTTCACTTACCTTATATATGATTAATTTGAGTTATTATTTTGTTTAGTTATGTTACTACAATTTCATTACGTTCAATTTAATTTTTAAACTTGATTCATTAATTTACTTCGTATTAACTACAAATTAAAAGATAATATCATGACTGTTAGCTAACAAAGAGCTAAAAATTGTCAAAAGTAAAGCAAAAAAGTTTTATAAATGAATTGTTTTATAAGTGCCCAACTGTAAATGAAACAATACGAGCTGTTAATAATACGCTCTCTAAAATAGCAATAACTTCAAACTAAATACAATTCGGAACTTCGCACCGAAGCACGTGTTTATACAAATGCGACAGTCGATCAATTCGGGATTCCCCTAATTACATTGTATCTTCGTATCTTCCGTTTTCAGTGTATACAATACTGTAAAAATTAAATCGACGTGTGGTTCGGTTACCCATCCCATATTGACATTTTACACCCTAAGGGGTAATTACCCACAGGTTAAGAACCACTGCTCTATAGGCCTCATAGCACGTTACCTGAAGCTTGTTCTTCATTTCAAATTGAAGCGCCAAAAAGAAGGGTTGCTATCAGTCAGTTTTAAGCAAAAATTACACTAGGAAAATTCGAGATGTTGCCATTGGAAATAGGGTTTAGTCGCACATCTCTCATTATGGCTAAACCCAAATGATATTAGTTCTAGGTTCTGTGATAGTTCTAGTGATAGTGCTAGTAAAAAACTAGAACTAACACTAGACCTAGAACTAGAAAGTTTCGGGTTTAGCTGTGCGTCTTCAGACGAACCAAGAACTATAGAATCTAAAAGGACTGATACATGTTCTTCTGTAATTCAGAAAATGAGGTCAGTATTGGAGCAATACCGACTAACTTTTAGTTTGATAAAAATATACAACAATCTAACGCTAAATTACTATTGAAAGTAGAGTTCAAAGAAAATTCTGCTCATATTGAAACTTGCAAAAATTGAAGGAAAGTGGATTTGTAAAAATGTCGGAACTGGCAAAAGTAGTTGCCTTTCTATATTTGTTGTTATAGATAACGAGGTATATGATGGACGTTAAATAAAATTGATCAGAAATTTAGCCCATTATTTGCAAAAATTTAAGAAAATCTGGGTTTCCAAAGAAATAGGAAATGACAAACATAATTTTCTTTGGATATTCACTGCTATAAACAAAGAGGAATGCAATGCAGCTCAAATTAACAGACTCGGACGTTCTACTCAAATCAAAATTTGCAAAAAATTATGAAAAACAGATTTTCTCAAGAAATAAGATAGATTTTTTTTGCAATATTTCCATTTTAAACATGATGAGGAATCTGCTGCAGCTCATTTTAAAAGCTCGTATAAAAACTCGTAGAAAATTAGTATTGTAATGAAATAAGAAACGGCTGAAGTATTTTTTGCAACATTTGCTGTTTTAGACATGGTGAAAGAAATTTGGTGCAGTTCAAATTAAGTTGATTAAAGATTTTGCTCAACCCAAAATTTGCGAAAAATCATGGAAAACTGGGTTTGCAATAAAATAAGAAATACCAGAAGAATTTTTTTTGCAATAGTTGTATTTTAAACATGATGAGAAATCTACTGCAGCTCAATTTAAACTGGTCAATGATTTTGCTGAACCTGAAATTTGCAAAAACTCGTGGAAAATTAGTATTGTAATGAAATAAGAGACGGCAGAAGTATTTTTTGCAACATTTGTTGTATTAGGCATGGTGAGAAATTTGGTGCAGTTCAAATTAAGTTGATTAAAGATTTTGCTCAACCCAAAATTTGCGAAAAATCATGGAAAACTGGGTTTGCAATAAAATAAGAAATACCAGAAGAATTTTTTTTGCAATAGTTGTATTTTAAACATGATGAGAAATCTACTGCAGCTCAATTTAAACTGGTCAATGATTTTGCTGAACCTGAAATTTGCAAAAACTCGTGGAAAATTAGTATTGTAATGAAATAAGAGACGGCAGAAGTATTTTTTGCAACATTTGCTGTATTAGGCATGGTGAGAAATTTGGTGTAGTTCAAATTAAATTGATTAAAGATTTTGCTCAAACTAAAATTTGCTAAAAATCATGGAAAACTAGGTTTGTAATGAAATCAGATATGCCAAAAAGATTTTTTTGCAATATTTCCATTTTAAACATGATGAGGAATCTGCTGCAACTTAATTTAAACTGGTCAATGACTTTGCTGAACCTGAATTTTGCAAAAACTCGTGGAAAATTAGTATTGTAATGAAATAAGAGACGGCAGAAGTATTTTTTGCAACATTTGTTGTATTAGGCATGGTGAGAAATTTGGTGCAGTTCAAATTAAGTTGATTAAAGATTTACTCAACCCAAAATTTGCAAAAAGTTATGGAAAACTAGATTTGCAATGAAATAGGAAATGCCAGAAGGACTTTTTTGCAATATTTCCATTTTAAACATGATGAGGAATCTGCTGCAGCTCATTTTAAGTTCATCAATGACTTTGTTGAATCCGAAATTTGTAAAAACTCGTGGAAACTTAGTATTGGAATGAAATAAGAAACTGCAGAAGTATTTTTTGCAACATTTGCTGTATTAGACATGGTGAGAAACTTGGTGTAGTTCAAATTAAATTGATTAAAGATTTTGCTCAAACTAAAATTTGCTAAAAATCATGGAAAAGTAGGTTTGCAATGAAATAGGAAATGCCAGAAGGATTTTTTTGCAATAGTTGTATTTTAAACATGATGAGAAATCTACTGCAGCTCAATTTAAACTGGTCAATGACTTTGTTGAACCTGAATTTTGCAAAAACTCGTGGAAAATTAGTATTGTAATGAAATAAGAAACGCCAGAAGTAATTTTTGCAACATTTGCTTTATTAGACATAGTGAGAAATATGGTGCAGTTCAAATTAAGTTGATTAAAGATTTTGCTCAACCCAAAATTTGCAAAAAGTTATGGAAAAGTAGATTTGCAATGAAATAGGAAATGCCAGAAGGACTTTTTTGCAATATTTACATTTTAAACATGATGAGGAATCTGCTGTAACTCAATTTAAACTGGTCAATGATTTTGTTGAACCTGAAATTTGCAAAAATTCGTGGAAAATTAGTATTGTAATGAAATAAGAAACGGCAGAAGTATTTTTTGCAACATTTGCTGTTTTAGACATGGTGAGAAATTTGGTGCAGTTCAAATTAACTTGATTAAAGATTTTGCTCAAACTAAAATTTACTAAAAATCATGTATAAGTAGGTTTGCAATGAAATGAGAAATGCCAGAAGGATTTTTTTTTGCAATATTTGCATTTTAAACATGATGAGGAATCTACTGCATCTCAATTTAAACTGGTCAATGATTTTGCTGAACCTGAAATTTGCAAAAACTCGTGGAAAATTAGTATTGTAATGAAATAAGAAACGGCAGAAGTATTTTTTGCAACATTTGCTGTATTAGGCATGGTGAGAAATTTGGTGCAGTTCAAATTAAGTTGATTAAAGATTTTGCTCAAACTAAAATTTGCTAAAAATCATGGAAAACTAGGTTTGCAATAAAATCAGAAATACCAGAAGGATTTTTTTTGCAATACTTGTATTTTAAACATAATGAGAAATCTACTGCAGCTCAATTTAAACTGGTCAATGACTTTGTTGAACCTGAATTTTGCAAAAACTCGTGGAAAATTAGTATTGTAATGAAATAAGAAACGCCAGAAGTAATTTTTGCAACATTTGCTTTATTAGACATAGTGAGAAATATGGTGCAGTTCAAATTAAGTTGATTAAAGATTTTGCTCAACCCAAAATTTGCAAAAAGTTATGGAAAAGTAGATTTGCAATGAAATAGGAAATGCCAGAAGGACTTTTTTGCAATATTTACATTTTAAACATGATGAGGAATCTGCTGTAACTCAATTTAAACTGGTCAATGATTTTGTTGAACCTGAAATTTGCAAAAATTCGTGGAAAATTAGTATTGTAATGAAATAAGAGACGGCAGAAGTATTTTTTGCAACATTTGTTGTATTAGGCAAGGTGAGAAATTTGGTACAGTTCAAATTAAATTCATTAAAGATTTTGCTCAAACTAAGATTTGCTAAAAATCATGAAAAACTGGGTTTGCAATGACATCAGAAATGCCAAAAAGATTTTTTTGCAATATCTCCATTTTAAACATGATGAGGAATCTGCTGTAACTCAATTTAAAGTGATCAATGATTTTGCTGAACCTGAAATTTGCAAAAACTCTTGGAAAATTAGTATTGTAATGAAATAAGAGACGGCAGAAGTATTTTTTGCAACATTTGTTGTATTAGGCATGGTGAGAAATTTGGTACAGTTCAAATTAAATTGATTAAAGATTTTGCTCAAACTAAAATTTGCTAAAAATCATGGAAAACTAGGTTTGTAATGAAATCAGATATGCCAGAAGGACTTTTTTGCAATATTTACATTTTAAACATGATGAGGAATCTGCTGTAACTCAATTTAAACTGGTCAATGATTTTGCTGAACCTGAATTTTGCAAAAACTCGTGGAAAGTTAGTATTGTAATGAAATAAGAGACGGCAGAAGTATTTTTTGCTACATTTGTTGTATTAGGCATGGTGAGAAATTTGGTACAGTTCAAATTAAGTTGATTAAAGATTTTGCTCAAACTAAAATTTGCTAAAAATCATGGAAAACTGGGTTTGCAATGAAATCAGAAATGCCAAAAAGATTTTTTTGCAATATTTCCATTTTAAACATGATGAGGAATCTTCTGCAACTTAATTTAAACTGGTCAATGACTTTGCTGAACCTGAAATTTGCAAAAACTCGTGGAAAATTAGTATTGTAATGAAATAAGAGACGACAAACGTATTTTTTGCAACATTTGCAGTATTAGGCATGGTGAGAAACTTGGTGTAGTTCAAATTAAGTTGATTAAAGATTTTGCTCAACCCAAAATTTGCAAAAAGTTATGGAAAACTAGATTTGCAATGAAATAGGAAATGCCAGAAGGACTTTTTTGCAATATTTACATTTCAAACATGATGAGGAATCTATTGCAGCTCAATTTAAACTCATCAATGACTTTGCTGAACCCGAAATTTGCAAAAACTCGTGGAAAATTAGTATTGGAATGAAATAAGAAACTGCAGAAGTATTTTTTGCAACATTTGCTGTATTAGACATGGTGAGAAACTTGGTGTAGTTCAAATTAAATTGATTAAAGATTTTGCTCAAACTAAAATTTGCTAAAAATCATGGAAAAGTAGGTTTGCAATGAAATAGGAAATGCCAGAAGGATTTTTTTGCAATAGTTGTATTTTAAACATGATGAGAAATCTACTGCAGCTCAATTTAAACTGGTCAATGATTTTGCTGAACCTGAATTTTGCAAAAACTCGTGGAAAATTAGTATTGTAATGAAATAAGAAACGGCAGAAGTATTTTTTGCAACATTTGCTGTTTTAGACATGGTGAGAAATTTGGTGCAGTTCAAATTAACTTGATTAAAGATTTTGCTCAAACTAAAATTTACTAAAAATCATGTATAAGTAGGTTTGCAATGAAATGAGAAATGCCAGAAGGATTTTTTTTTGCAATATTTGCATTTTAAACATGATGAGGAATCTACTGCATCTCAATTTAAACTGGTCAATGATTTTGCTGAACCTGAAATTTGCAAAAACTCGTGGAAAATTAGTATTGTAATGAAATAAGAAACGGCAGAAGTATTTTTTGCAACATTTGCTGTTTTAGACATGGTGAGAAACTTGGTGTAGTTCAAATTAAGTTGATTAAAGATTTTGCTCAAACTAAAATTTGCTAAAAATCATGGAAAACTAGGTTTGTAATGAAATCAGATATGCCAAAAAGATTTTTTTGCAATATTTCCATTTTAAACATGATGAGGAATCTGCTGCAACTTAATTTAAACTGGTCAATGACTTTGCTGAACCTGAAATTTGCAAAAACTCGTGGAAAATTAGTATTGTAATGAAATAAGAGACGGCAGAAGTATTTTTTGCAACATTTGTTGTATTAGGCATGATGAGAAATTTGGTGCAGTTCAAATTAAGTTGATTAAAGATTTTGCTCAACCCAAAATTTGCAAAACGTTATGGAAAACTAGATTTGCAATGAAATAGGAAATGCCAGAAGGACTTTTTTGCAATATTTCCATTTTAAACATGATGAGGAGGAATCTGCTAGTGTTAGTTCTGGTTTTAGTTCAATAAAAATATACAACATAGTAATATCTTATGCTAACTAGCGCACCTACCACTGCTACTAGAACTAATATTAGACCGAGAACTAGAAACATTTAGCTGCACCTCTCTCAAGACGGCTAAACACGAATGATTCTAGTTTTAGGTCTTGTTTTAGTTCTAGTGCTAGTGTAAAACTAGAACTAATACTAGACCGAGAACTAGAAACATTCGGGATTAGCCGCACGTCTCTCAAGACGGCTAAACCCGAATGATTCTAGTTGTAGGTCTAGTGTTAGTTCTAGTTCAATAAAAATATACAATATAGTGATATTCTGTGTAAACTTGACTTTTCTTCATTTTACTCCTCCGAATTAAAAAAAATAGAGTGTAGTATAGGTTTTAATTGAAACAAAAATAAGATTCAAAGTCGACAATTTGTATTATTTTAATAAGTTTTTATAAATCGTTTAGATTTAACAGTACTTAAAAAGAACGTATATGGTGATTTTTCAATTAAAAATTTGTACTACGCGAAAAAAATTAACCCGATATTATTTATTTAACAATAAATATTTATTTATTAAATTACGTTTCATCCCTCACATACTTATCAACTAATTAGTATTATTAGAGTTATTTCTCATCATAATTTTTTTATACAATATTTCTCTCATATTTTCTTAGAAACACTACTTCTTAATTCTATATATTTTTATCAATTTAATTAATTTATTAATGCGGTAATAAATACAATTAATAACATTTATTTTATTAATTAATTAACCATCTTTCGGTACACGACTAACGTATAAGACGGTGTAAGAAGTAAAAATCTTTAATACAGTATTTATACACAACATTTTATACGTTTATATTATTTAGGTTTATTTTTTTTTTTAATATGTTAAAGAAGTTTATGTACTTTTGGGATATGTAAAAACATTGAAACCTTCGTGGCAATTTTAAGCCATCACAAGGTAGGCAAAAATGGAAATATATTTTTTTTTCTTTAATAAATATAGAGCTTATTTTAAAATTTTAAAACGTTATTATAACTTCAAATCCAAGCGTACTTAATTCTTTTTTAAAATTATCCAAATATAATTGAATTCTTTTTTCTTTATCGATTAAAATAAATTTTTGGTTTTATTTTTTTTTAGGTGGTTAAGTTTTAAATTAATTTTGAATGCCAAATTTTTCAAGGCACACATTTGATGAAATAAAAAAGAATTTAGATTCGATTATACTTGGATTTAATCTTTTAATTGTTTCGGCCAATCTTTATTTTATTATTTTTTCATCTTTTCGAAATAATCCAACGCGAATTTAATCGCGTTATTATTTCTATTTTGTTCCCAAATTTCCCAAAACGTCTCATTCCCAACACTTTCTCAGTCATCGTTTGACAATCATGATTTCCACTCTTTCAATTTCCTCAACGACACTTTTTTTAATCTCGAAACGGTCGACATCAAATCGTTTTCTTTCGATTCTTCATCTTCGGTTAAAGTCTCACCTTCGGAATGAACTTCGCGGTTATAACTTCGATTAATTTTTTGTTGGTTATTTGACGAAGTCGAACTTGTCGATTGTTTAATTGAAGAATTTTTTTTTGAATCATCGTTTTTCGGTGGTTTTGAGAATTTCGATGAGGATGGATCGCTGAGTGCGATTTGAACTGGTGATTTCGCAATGTTTTTAGCAGAAATAAAACTTTTACTGATTTTGTCTAAAGTTGCTAATCGCAAACTTGAGGTGATTCGGTTTTTTCTTAAACTCGTGGGGGTTACGACGGATGATCTTTCTTGCATTACGAATCTTCCTATTGTTTGCCAATGCGATTGGGCGCTATAAACGTTTTCGAAATCATCTAGCGGTCTAATTTGGATGTTGTGGTTAGTTCCGCCGAATTCTAACTCCTCAACGATGACGAAGTTTAATGGTTCTTCTAATCGGCGCGCTTTGACTAAAGCTTGCGCTAAAACATCTTGAGAGCACGCGTTTAATGGTACTTTTAAGATCGCGTAAGGAATTTGGGGGGAAACGTTATAAATACAAACTAAGAATGTGTCGTTTTCTAACCAAGTATTAGTCGGGCTTGAATCTGATTTTCTCGCTTCTCTTTCGCGCGATGCGACACTTCTTATCGATGATAACCACGCCCTTGAACTTGGATCATCTCCCATTCTCTTCAAAATGAATCTCCCATCGCCTTTCCATTGGCTTTGTGCTTGTAGTGGGCGCTCTTGTAGATCTAAAACGCGTTGTGTCGCGGGGAGTTGATGGTCCTTTTTTTCCCAACCCCGCGCGACCTCTTCAACTAAAATATAATCGTTGATTTTTTCTGATTGTTGACTCATTTTTTGTAAGGCTAATAATAAAACGTCTTGCGTGGTGCTTTCTTGGGTTATCTTCAAAATTGTGTAAGGTTCCTCCGAAACCACCCCATAAACCATCAAAAAAAACATCCTCCTTTTAATACATAAAGGTGTCCCGGAAATCGTAGTCGCTATCTTATACTCATTTATCGTTGACGTCGTTTTCTTGATCGTTTCGATTTTGGAATTTTCCAACGATTCCTCTTCAATATGGGAGTAAATAAACAACGTTGACATATTTAACGGTTTATTTTGAGGCGTTCTTAATCTTAAATGGCGATACCCCGGTCGTAAATTCTTCAACGGAAATATCCTCTGCGATATCATATGATTACTCGTCGCGTCGATAACGGAGAATCTTAAAAATGCCAAATCTTGGAATAAAACTCGAAAATTAAACGACTCATTCCAAATTGGGTTTAGAGCATTCTTTTGGGAAATTTTCGTTTTTTGTTTGTTGCAATCAACGGGGATTCCGATAATTTCAATCTCCACCAGTGTACTTAAATTAACATTCGTTACAGAAACGTATTGTCCCGAAACTATGTTAATAACGAACATGGACGAATGAATCCCATCGAATTCTTTATCCCACGGATTAAATCTTCGATACATAACGTGGAATTTATCCCACATCACGTTCGGTTTGCTCACATAACCAACTCTCCCGTTGGTTTCAAACAACGCGGTGTTTAATTGCATCGAAATATCTTCAGTTTGATAATTTAACGCCGCCAATTGGATACCAAACGACCAAAACACAACCGGATTAAAATTAGAACTATCAATTCTCATCGCGGCGGGATAAGTCCGCATTAATTGACTTTCCGTGTGCGCCACCAACCCTAAAGGTTGTTTTCGGCACAATTTTTTCGCTGTATTCTCGTTAATTGATGAACATTGGAAACACGCGGCGTTTGTTATGTTGGCGTTTTTGGTTGTTATTCGCGATTCGGTTGGATTTTGAGTCGGTTTAATTACTTCCGGGATCGTTTTTTCATCGAAAACAGGGATTTCCATTAATTCCGAAGATGCCGTTGACGAGGAGATGTTTGTTGACGTTGAATTCGCGCTGTTTGTTGCTGTTGGAGTAATCGTTGAGCTACACGACGATGGTAACGTTGACATTATCCTTTGGTTGCGTTGTTTCACCGAAGAACTTGGCGAGATTGTGTTGAGACCGCGAAATTTTATCGCCTAAAAAAGATTTAATTAATATAAATAAGATTAACATTTTAAATTTTGGACTCACTTGAACGTAAACGACTAAATCTGAGAGGTCCTTTGAAATTTGACTACTTCGTTTCTTTAATTTATCATCGGGATTCGGTCTTTTGGTCGAGCTTGTTTTTGATATGGTGTGTGATATGCCGATTGATCTCGGGGAATCAGTGCTTGGAATTATACCATGAATTGTTTTCTCTGTAAGAAGAAATAAATAAAAAAAAAGATTTCGTTTTTTAGATTTATTTACCATCTATGTTGTCTTCGTCATCTTCATCGTCGAATTCGTCATCGCTGTAATCATCGTTAAAAGAGCTACTGCTGGTATTGCTTATAATCGAACTTGTTCTTCCGGGAACTGAGTGACGAACTCCGCTTTGAGTTCTATATGTTGATCTAAAATAATAAATTTAATTTTTTTTATAAATTATTAGATGGTGCCATCTATCAACAAGAAAACGAACTATTTAGTTACTTTTGGTGACTTCCGTATTTCGAAGTTTGTTTATAATTTTGACAAGTGACACCAAGTGACACCCCGGCTACTGTGCGAGATATAATTGCCTACAGCCGGAGGAATAATATACAAGTGTTTTGTTTGATCCGACATAAATGAAAGAGGTGAGTTGCTTTTTAACTACCTATTAGGGGAGGAACTCACACAGACATTGAGGACAATGAGAAGGCGGACAAACTGGTCAAAGAAGCGAAAAAAGCGAAAAAAACTACAGTTGGGAGGCCTCAAAGGTAGCCTTACGCTGGAAAGAACTTCCAGGTCACAGACAAGCGAAGAGTATGATAACTCAGTCGCAAAACAAAACCAAAGAGATTTTATGCCTCCGCAAAGAGGATCTAAGAATGCTCTCAGGTTTCCAGATTGACCATGCGCTCCTAAAATACCACCTCTTCCACATTCGACAAGCTGAGGATCAAACTTTAGACGCGTCAGAAAAAGCTGAATATTTACTGTGTAATTGCGTTGCCAAACACAACATTTTCGGTAAAACTCTTGTGACACCTACCAACATAAAGGAACAAGACCTTGGAGCAATACTAAAGCTAGCTGTTCACTTGAGAGAAACTTCTAAGAGTAACTCTCGATATCTACTCTCAAATGTGTGTCCATTTAAGACTGTTTTATCTCTCCGAGAGCTTTCTCTCAGGACCGTGTCCACTAGTGAAATGTGTCCGTAGCTTAATAGTGGCTTGGCAGTATTTTGGAAAATTATTAGAAAATATAAACTTAAACACCTCTATTGCTGAAAAAGACTAGATATTGCTGGCAGAAGGCTAAGTATTACTAATAAAAGACTAGATGTTGCAAATGAAGCAGATTCTTCTTACAGAAGACTTCACACTACTACCAGAAGACGAAATATTGTTGGTAGAAGAAGACTAGATATTGCTGGCAGAAGACTAAGTATTGCTAATGAAAGACTAGATATTGCAAATGAAGCACATTCTTCTTACAAAAGACTACACACTCCCGCTAAAAAACTAAATACTGTTAGCAGAGGACTTAATTTTATTGTCAGAAGACCAAATTATGTTGTCAGAAGACTAGATATTACCAATGGTACAAATCATGCTTCGTTGCAGCAAGAAAGGTTACTATTATTGACTATTTTGGTGAAAATTTCAAAATTTTAAAAGAACCCCATAAGCGTCCGGTCCTTACACCTAATGCCTTTCGACTCATCACATTAACGTCATTTCTGTTGAAAACCCATGAAAAAGTTCTGGAACCGTATATCCGTACTTGGCTCTACACAACTTGGTTGATAGAGTATCCAGGACGGTCCAGGCTAAAGAGATCTTGGTTTGTGCGTTTCTGGATGTAAAAGGTGTGTTAAATATTACAATCTTTTAAAAGAGCTGCTCAAGACAGGGGAATGCAATCAACTATAACGGGTTGGATCCGCAATATGCTTGTTAGCAGAATAGTTTCTTGTAGTTATCCCCTCTGCTTTGGGCCTTTCGGGTTGATGACCTGATTGCGATAGTCGAAGCCGTTGGTGTAGAAATATAAACGTACGTTGAAGACATTGTCGTTATGGTCAAAGGAACCTGTTTGTCGAGGATATCCAAAGTCCTCTAGGTGACCCTAGACACTATTTGCGCTTGATGTAAGGGAGAGAATCTCTCGATAAACCTGCGCAATATAATCTCTTTGTCGTTTTCTAATCCGCCCAACTATCCATGGTGAAGAGAACCCTTTCAAAACTCTCATATGGACATTTGCAGGAAGTTTTACACAAAGTTAGGTTAAAGCTAGTACATTAAAAGAACACCTAAGAAATATGGCATTAATATAATTTGCATTGCATATATAGAATAGCAATTAAGCAATATGCTTAAAATTGCTCCGACATGTCCTATATGTTGTGCTATCAATGCCGTTAGATTTGACGGGATCACTACCAGCGATTAATGCTCGATACCAGATTGTACTGCCTGAACGGCAGTCCTAGATCGAAAACGAAAATTCTCTGGTTCAGACAGATATTTGCATGTTTAATGGATCAAAACAATCGGAAGGGGTCGGGGCAGGAGTACACTGCCAGACACTTCGGATTAAGCAAGCTTACAGCCTAGGTTGGGTTGGGTTATTGATATGGGTGCTAGAATCCTTCTTGAGAGAGGGATGAAGAACATGATAGTACGATTTTTCTTAGACATTCAAGATACTCTCCAGGCACTGAAAACGGTGTCAGCTCTGGTGAATGACGAAAAGAACTTTAAACACTGAGTTGTGATAACATGACAGTGCGATTTTTCTCAGACATTCAAGCCGCTCTCCAGGCGTTGAAAACGGTGTCAGCTCTGGTTAATGACTAAAAGAAGTTTAAACACACTAAGTTGTGATAACAGAGTTTCTCTGATCTGGGTCCCAGGTCAATCTGGGGTTGCTGGCAAAGAAGCGGCAGATGAGATAGTACGAGAGGGCAGTGCTAAAGCGTTTGTGGGGCCAGAGTCAGCAGTTGGTATATCATTATCGCTAAACATAGGATTGGATTGTCGGCTGAAGAGAGACTTCGCCTACTGTGCACTAGTTCTCCTGGAATGAGACACGCTAAGTTGTTTATCAACATAGTCATTGTCAAACCCGGGAATATTTTAGAACTTGCTCGTAGCAGTATTAAAGTTCTAATGGGCACTGCCGATTAAAGACACACCTCAACTTGTTTGAGCCTAGCCGACGATGTTGAATGGCAACTATGTGCGGAGGACGAGGAGACAGCTGAGCATGTTTTATGCCACTGCACTGCTATTAACCGTATCAGATTATCAAGGTTGGTTGGTCCGCCTACCCGATATACAGGGTCATCCACAACTACCGTCCATTATAACTATATAGAGAACCGAATGAAGTAGGGTTTTGAAAATTTGCGGACTTATGATGTTTGATGCAAGCTTTCTAACCAAAAGAAAATTTTGGTTAGTTTTGATGGTTACACAGGAAGTGGTGACAATTTTCATATTTCAAACAAAACTTTATTGTTCAGATTTAATTTTAAATGTAAAAAGCAAAATAACAAAAATAACTAATTAAATGTTCAAACACACTGCCATTGTCTCCTAAACGTGCTTCAATTCTATCTATGCTTCATCATAAGGCTACAAATTTTTAAACCCTCACTTCATTTGGTTCTCCATACAGGGTGAGTTATTAGTATCCCTGCGGTCGATAGTTACTATACCGTTTGAAAAACAAAAAAATATTTTATACAAAAGTTGTTTGACTCATCACTTTCTATTACGTAACATTATTTTCACTTATACAGGAAATTATATTACACATTATTCTTTAAATTCTAAATATCAGGAAAACTACTAAAGTTAGATATATGACATATTTATCATTAATTAAAGGTAACTTGATGGGCAATTCAACCAGCACACAATATACTAGTGTTCCATTTAAAAAACTTATGAAAAAACCATTTGAAAAACATCAAAAGTAACTAAGCTTTATAAACACGCTGTATAGCGTATCTAATATTTTTGGATACTATCATTTATCTACTGGCTTTGATCATTGTCTGACATAGTTTCAAGGAAAAATTGGAAAAAAATGTCGTTTTTACATAGGTTTTAAAAAGATTCTGCAATGGACACATTTTGGAAAAACAATTGAATATCTCAGGAACTATGAACGCTATGAGTTAGTAACATATACGGTTGTATAAACAAAGTTAATTTTATTCATAATACGATAAAATATACAGGGGTATTTCATTTAAAAAATCTACATACTCTATGGAACATCCTGTATGCGTGAAAATAATTTTACGTAATAGAAAGTGGTGAGTCAAACAACTTTTGTAGAAAATATTTTTTTTTTCTTAGACGGTTTAGCAACTATTGTTCGCCAGGATACTAATAACTCACCCTGTATATTTCTAATGAACGGTCGTAGTGGTATAATTTATGTAATGATACCATATGATTTTGATGTGCCAATATAATTTATGTTGAAATGACCTAATTCCTGTCGAGATATGAACAGTTTAAAGACACATAAGAATAACATTAATCGGTACTTAATAGAACTTGATTATTGTTTAATGTGTGTAGGAAGCCACATCAATAGTAAAAAGATTAATTACCTTACTGGTGTTGAAATAATCGAAAAGTTAGCAACCTGAGGTGGTACATCCATAACTAACTTTTTATTTTTGATTAAAATCCGATACTTTAATTGTTCGGGTGATGGTAAAGAAGGATCATCGCCGTAATCCGATTCGAATAAGAAATTGGAAACCAATTTTTCCCCAAAAACTTTCTAAAAATAATTTCACTCTCATTTAAAAAAATAATTATAATAAAACGTTTACCTGAAACGTATGCGCCATCCTGCTTTGTTGTTGTAACGAACAATGATTTTCAATCGACAAAATAACCGGATAAGGCGACGTTACGAAAGCATTCTTTTCGATCGCTTCAACAACGGCGTTGAAAGGAATTTTTGTTGTAAAAGTGTGACCGTGATAAATCATCGGGTTACCATCTTCGCCATCCCAACAATCTAATTCGATACATCGACATCCAGTTAACAGGACCTAATTAAATAAATACCATAAATATTTACTACATACAGTGTGTTAATTAATTATCGTACTCGTCATCATTGCAAGCATGCAACCAATTTCACAGTGGAATACGCATAATACGCAAATCGCGTATTGTAATAAAAATACTGTGATATTGGTTGCATACTTGCTACGATAATTAATTAACACACTGTATTTTTAGTTTTAATTTTTACTTGGCTGTATAATTCAACGGAAGATTCCCCTTTTAATTGATGACCCGTTAAATAAGTGTTATGAGAAGAAGCGATGTAATAAGTTGACATGGGTCGATTCATTTCATCATCGAGCGGAAATTCCCTTTCATTAACAAACGCGAAATTGTCTTTATCCATTAAATACCTTGCAAAACCCTCGAATGATAAACAATTTTGTGATCTTAAAGTCGCATCGGGTTCGTGTCTCTAAAAAAAATTGTTTAATACCCAAATATGAATTATTTTTAAATTAAATTTACTTGGATTAACCCCTTTACGTCATTTTCAGTCCAAATTTCCATTTGTCTAGTTTCCAAAAATTTCGTAAACGTCGAAATAGTAATAACCTGAGAATTATTTGTATCAATTCCAGCACAATTTGTGAAAATGCTAGCTGCTGCGATTGCGTCGTAAATTTTTTTTTGTGAATTCGTAACGTTTCCGTCTAATTCTCCTTTACTGTTTCTGGTTAAAAGACCGATTTTTTGAGGTTTTTTCGCCATCGTCATTTCCGATTTCGATTTGACACCGTTTACTTTCGCCGTTGTTGAATTTGGCGCGGGTAAACTCGATCCGCTCGTATTCACAGCCATACTTCGATATGATATTGCCAATTGTTCGAATAAATCGCGTAAATCTTTACGAATTAATAAACTAAACGATCTAAATAATGTAACGAAGTCGATAAAATCTAATTGAGTATCGTAAAGTATCGATCCAACTCGAGGATGTCTTCCGTGCCATAAATGTTCTGTTGAACCATGTCTTTCCCTAAATAGATAATATCAAAATTTTGATTTGAAAAGGATTTATTTTTACCTTTCGAATTTTGGTTGTGAATAATTATAAGCTAAGTGCCCTAAACTGTGATGTCTCGCAACATCCGGTTGATGTTCCGCAAAAGTGGTTGGAGTACTTTGTCTGTGATGCGTCGGATTTCTCCAATAACTACTTTCCATGCACATCGTAACGGGCTCCACGAATTGATACTTCAAGCTTTTGTCCTGAAATATCAAAAAAGAACTTTCGGGGTTTAAGAAAAGGTTTTCTTTCGATTTCATACTTTTACCTTGAACGCTTGGTTCGATAAAATTTGTTTCTTTTTGATTTTCATCGAAACCTCTCGTCTTAAACCGGACGTTTCGCCCGGTTGCCCGCCCGCGGCGCTCATCCCAGCCAAAGACCAATCTCTCCCACCGAAAGATCTTATCGCATCCGCGGCTAAAGGACCACAACAGTAACCTTCTTCGTGGTAAAGTTGCATGTATTGTTCACGTAACCATAAAAGTCGGCGATCGCTTAAATTATTTTGACGAGATAAACCGGAAATTAACCAACACAATCCGCTAAACCACACTCTAAAAAATATTAATTTAAATTAAAAAATAAATAAATATAACCTCGATTGACGTATAACACATTTAAAACTTCAAATACAATTGTTACCAACACAAACTTAGTGATTTTTTGTTTAACCAATTTAACGTCATTTTGACATTTTGGATTTACGAATATTTCTAGTTCTAGGTCTAGTGTTAGTTCTAGTTTTACACTAACATTGATACTAGAACTAATACAATACCTAGAATCATTCGGGTTTAGCCGTCTTGAGAGACGTGCGGCTAAATCCGAATGTTTCTAGTTCTTGGTCTAGTGTTAGTTCTAGTGGCAGTGGTAGGTAGCGCTAGTTAGCATAAGATATTACTATGTTGTACTACTATAGTTTTATTGAACTAAAACTAGATCGAGAACTAGAAACATTAGGGTTTAGTCGTGAAAAAAACTTTCAGTTGTCAATGTCAACTTTAATTTTATTGTTATATTCGTAATCTTCATAAAATAACCGTTAAAGTGAGTCCAAACTTGACGCATTTATTTCAAAAAATCAAAAAGTTCGAACTTTCAACTTTTAATTTTGACATATTTGTCAACTTCATAAAAAATCCTTTAAAATGAATCCAAACTCGATACATTTAACTTTAATATTAATGGAAATACAATCACATCCGGTTTGAAACGTCAATGTCAATTTTAACATATTTGTCTTCTTCATTAAAAACCCTTTAAAATGAGTCCAAAGATGACGCACTAATCTCAAAAAACCAAAAAGTTAGAATAAAAAACATTAAACCCGAAGTTAGCAACAATGAAGATAGCAATTTAATTTTTAAATATTAATACCAACCTTAATTTTTTATTTTTTTTTATCAAATTCTTATTTTTGTGACAAATATTAAGACATTTTATAAAAATTAAGAATATGTCAAAATGACATTGACATTTCAAACCGGAAGTTGTTTATATCTCGAGTAATATTGGAATTAAACGTATCATGTTTGGACTCATTTTAAAGGACTTTTCACGACGATTACAAATATGTTAAAATTGACGTTGACATTCTTAACCGGAAGTTGACCATAACATCATTTATATTGAAGATAAATATGTCGTGTTTGTATTCATTTTAAAAGATTTTTAATGAAGATTACAAATATGTCAAAATTGAGGTTGACATTTTAAACGTGAAGTTAGTTATCATATACAGGGTGCCCATTATGTATGGAGTATAGTATATATGTATCTTCGTAGGTATCAACTTTATAAAAAAACATTTTATACAAAAGGTGTTTAATATTTTATTTGCAATAATAAGACTGCATTCAATTGTTTATATTTCAGAAAACAATTGAACAACGAATAACCCTTGAAGTTTTTTAAATGGCTCATTTTTTTCTCTTTACGATAACGTAAAATTTTAATACCCTATCAGAAAATTTTTGAAAAAAAATGTAAAAATTGTTTATTAAGACACATAAATTTATTAAACATTTATTAAAAAATTTAACTAATAACATTAATCTAGATATCCGATTGCCATTTAAAAAAATTTAAGTATTATTCGCGACTCATTTGTTTTCTGAATTAAAAACAATTGAATGCAGTCTTATTATGGCAAATAAAATATTAAACAACTTTTGTATAAAATGTTTTTTTATAAAGTTGATATCTACCAAGATATATACTATATTCCATACATAATGGGCACCTGTAATAGACAAATGGACAACTTCATGGTGTTTTTTCATGATGTATTCTTTATTACAAAAACCTTTATAATAAGTCCAAATAACACACACTTAGCTCAAAAAACAAAAAAATTCGAACTTTCAATTATTAATTTTGACATATTTGTCAACGTCATAAAAAATCCATTAAAATGAGTCCAAACTCGACACATTTAACTTTAATATTAATGGAAATACCATCACTTCCGGTTTGAAATGTCAATGTCAATTTTGACATATTTGTCATCTTCATTAAAAAACCTTTAAAATGAGTCCAAATAAGACGCACTTATCTCAAAAAACAAAAAAATTAGAATAAAAAATATTAAACCCGAAGTTAACAACAATGAAGATAGCAATTTAATTTTTAAATATTAATACCAACCTTAATTTTTTATTATATTCTTATTTTCGTAACAAATATTAAGACATTTTATAAAAATTTAGAATATGTTAAAATGACATTGACATTTCAAACAGGAAGTTGCTTATATCTCGAGTAATATTGGTATTAAACGTATCATGTTTGGACTCATTTTAAAGGATTTTCCACGACAATTACAAATATATCAAAATTGACGTTGACATTCTTAACCGGAAGTTGACCATAACTTCATTAATATTGAAGATAAANATTTTCTTGGAGCTTTTTCAGTTTGTTTATTATGGAGGATTAATTGGACCGCGTTATGCATAACTTGACTAAGCGACACATTAATAGTGCTGAGAAAAACGGGATTTTCGTTTTCATGTCTCTAAAAATGTAAGTCTTCTCAGAATAGACAGGCTCAAACTATTGAAAATTGTTTGGTGCCTGCCCATTTTTATCACAGAACACTGATGACAACTATCTCAAGCACATAAGTCGCTTGGTACGTTTTACGATTATACAGGTGTTTCTGTAAGTCGTGGCATAAATTTAATCGCTAAAACTAGAGACAAAATGANCCACACTTTCTTTTTAAATTAAACTGAGGTATTGCATAAAACGTCTAAAACATGAAAAAACTAAAAAAACTTTCTTGAAATAGTTTTAGTCTAAAGACACACAGCTAAACGCGAACTTTAAAATACAATTGTTACCAACATAAACCTAGTGATTTTTTGTTTAACCAATTTAACGTCATTTTGACATTTCGGATTTATGTTGAATATCATAGAAAATATAATATAATATGTACAGTCAGTCCCAAAAATCATCGTACACCAACGGTTTTTGCATAATATCCAAAATGAGGTCGTAAAAAAAGTATTTTTTTATTACCATACACATAATTATTTATTTTTAACAGATTTATAAACAGAAAACACTGCAATTTAACAAAATAACAAAATAACTTAATAGTTCTTCAAAATTCTTCCATTGGAATGTCACAAAAGTGATCGTACAGATCCAAAAGTTGTAATTANGAGGTTTAATAACTTAAACTTAATTCTTAACGTTGTACAACCAGTACTTCCACCTCTCTTTGGATTTAATGTTTTTTATCCTAACTTTTTTGGGTTTTTTTTTTCATTTTAAGGGTTTTTTTAATAAAGAATACATCATTAAAGAACACCATGAAGTTGTCCATTTGTCTATTATATGATAACTAACTTCAGGTTTAAAATGTTAACCTCAATTTTGACATATTTGTAATCTTCATTAAGAATCCTTTAAAATGAGTACAAACACGACATATTTATCTTCCATATTAATGAAGTTATGGTCAACTTCCGGTTAAGAATGTCAACGTCAATTTTGACATATTTGTAATCGCCGTGAAAAATCCTTTAAAATGAGTTCAAACATGATATGTTTAATGTCAATATTATTCGAGATATAAACAACTTCCGGTTTGAAATGTCAATGTCATTTTGACATATTCTTAATTTTTATAAAATGTCTTCATATTTGTCACAAAAACAAAAATATAATAAAAAAAATTAAAAATTAAGGTTGGTATTAATATTTAAAAATTAAATTGCTATCTTCATTGTTGCTAACTTCGGGTTTAATGTTTTNAATGACACGAAACTGTCGAATTGTCAATAACCTAACCTTCAAATTCAAAATCAAAATTCAAAATTGCCTGTGTGTGAACCTTCCTCGCATTCAACCAATCACGTGCAAGGTCAATCTGGTGACAAATTTAAAATACTCCTCCTGGTTTAAAAACAGAGTATAGTTCTCTATTTTGTTGAAAAGACAGTCAACGATTGTAACTAATTCGTATATTAAAATGCGATTAATTAAATGCGTTAAAATATCTCGATAATTAATCACTACACTTGTTGGTTAAATAACTATTAAATCAATAGTTGAATATGAGATTGTGTTTCTATAGATTTTAGGTTGGTATCATTTTCTTGGAGCTTTTTCAGTTTGTTTATTATGGTGGATTAATTGGACCGCGTTATGCATCACTTGACTAAGCGACAAATTAATAGTGCTGAGAAAAACGGGATTTTCGTTTTCATGTCTCTAAAAATGTAAGTCTTCTCAGAATAGACAGACTCAAACTATTGAAAATTGTTTGGTGCCTGCCCATTTTTATCACAGAACACTGATGACAACTATCTCAAGCACATAAGTCGCTTGGTACGTTTTACGATTATACAGGTGTTTCTGTAAGTCGTGGCATAAATTTAATCGCTAAAACTAGAGACAAAATGATGACGATTAGTGTACAATTTTGAAGAAAATAATCTAGAGTTTTTATTTTGTACTTTGATGAAGATAANTCTCTGGGGAGCCATGACACTTTTTTGACAAACGGAGAGCAACGATTACTAGATGTAGGGCAGGTTAGACTAGCTGCACGGGAAATCCCACGTAATTGACAAAGAGACGGGGAAACCCCTGTCGGTTTTCAGATGTACGATTACTTTTGTGAGATTACAATGGAACGATTTTGAAGAATTATTAAGTAATTTTGTTATTTTGTTAAATTGCAGTGTTTTCTGTTTATAAATCTGTTAAAAATAAATAATTACATGTATGGTAATAAAAAAAATCTTTTATTTACGATCACGTTTTGGAAATCATGCGAAAACCATTTGTGTACGATGACTTTTGGGACTGACTGTATATTATAGAAGGTCATCACGTCGGTATAAACTGCCTCCTCTAAAGTCCCTAGATTTACAAAGTACCGCGGTTTGACGCCATTTTGGCTTTTACCTCCTCCAAACAAAAGCGCCACCTAGTGAAATAGACTAAAACTATTGACACAAACCCTTGAAACTCCGCGATATTCGAATTAGAATTTATTTTACTTTCAATTCTATTTTCATGGCATTTTCAAATATAACCGTCTGATGAACGAGAATCGGTTAGAAACGGTTAGCACCATCTATTGAAATGGACTAATAACTGATTTCACTTGTAATGTATTGAGTTGAACCACCCTGTTGAATGTGTGGTTAAATGAAATAATTCAAAAAAGTCAAAAAAATTAAAGTGCATGTCTAAAACATAAATGAATTTTCTTGAAATAGTTTTAGTCTGAAGACGCACTGCTAAACCCGAATGTTTCTAGTTCTAAGTCTGTTAGTTCTAGTTTTACACTAGCACTATCATTAGAACTAACACTAGACCTAGAACTAGAAATATTCGGGTTTAGCCGTCCTGAGAGACGTGCGGCTAAATCCGAATGTTTCTAATTCTCGGACTAGTGTTAGTTCTACTTTTCGTTCAATAAAAATACACAACAATATAGTGCTGAATATTAATTAAAACTAGAATTACCGTCATTGATTTATACATATTATAAACAACTTGGGGAATACCCCGAGTTTATCTATGAACATGGAATAGAGCAACTTGGAGAATAACCCGATTTGGAATCTATCTATCAAGGTCCGTTATATGTAGGTTTAACTGTACAAATATAAATATATAAATTACCTGCAAATTGTTGGTGGACAAACTATATACAATAATCGATTATCACTAATACCATTTCCATAAAGAATGGTTAAAGCACATTCACTTCCGGTTTCATGAATTAAACCGTAACGTCTTGCAACGGAACATAATTCTAAGTCACTTGTTAAATCTCGCCCGCCTAAATGGACCTCTTTTATTACGAAAAGATCTAAAAATCTGTTTAAAAAAATATACAAGAGTATAAAAAGTAAATGAAATTAAAATTAAAATTTGTTTCTACCCATCATCGATGGTTGTTCCGGTTGATTGTTCGCCGGATGATTGTAGGGCGACTTTGGTCAATAAACCGGGGGCTAAAGTGTCTTCCGGATTAAACGATAAATTGAAATCGGTCGAAAAAGGGTCGCCGTCCGTTGCGTAACCCGCTTTAAGACCGCTCCAACTAGGTCTAACCCACGTCAATGTGGTACACGATCTGTCTAATCTTAAGTAAAGTAACAATCCTTTCGGCGATGATGGTTGTTGAAGTCCTTCGATACCCTCCCATAATAAAACGGTACTTCCATGGTGTAAAATCTAAAATAAAAAATTTTTTTTTAAATTAAGAGTCGCTTGCACAATTTATATAAGATAACTGTTTTATCGGCACCGTTGAGTTAGTTATTCTGCCTATAATTTCACCGACAAAAAAAATATCAGTATAAACTAACTTATCGGCCAGATAACACTGACGAGAGGTTTATCGGTATATTGTAAAATTCTGTTGTGATTATATTTTGGTATTTATATGATTTATAAATGTATACAAAATCATTCATTAATGACACCTATTCGAACATTTAACCTTACTTTTAATGTGTCAAAAGTCAAAACTTATTATTGTAGTCTTACCGAAAAGATATAGTCGGTTGGGTCGGTATTACAGATTTCATTCGAGAATATTTACTAAATTGATTACTATAATATACTCTGTTTTTAAACCAGGAGGAGTAAACGCGAAAGTCAGATTTACACTAGGAAAAATCACCAGAAAATATCACTAGATATTTTGGCGGTAAATTTAAATTAATAATTATTATTATTTATTTATTTACTTATTATTGTATTTATTTTCGTNTGTTAAATATGTCGAGTTTGGACTCATTTTAAAGGATTTTTTATGAACTTGACAAATAATATATGTCAAAGTTGAAAGTTCAAACTTTTGGTCTATTTGTAGAGTCTCTGAAGATGGCCAGAAACTAGTTAGACTTAAATTCTGTATAAAATAAAAGACATAAACCTTTAAAACAAACAGTATTTTAGGCCTTTCCTACCAGACAAGCACGAGAATCTCTAAAAACGTTAAAATGTCGCTTAGTCAAGTGATGTATAACACGGTCCAATTATTTCAATTTTTATTAAAACATACAAATAAAAAGTGGGCTTTAAAAGAAATAGAACATATATAACAAGACGAAAATATATCGTAGAAGATATACCCAGTGTAGCGCAAAAGTTGATAAAGAAGAATTTGAACATAATGTATCGAGTACAAAATTTAAATTCTTTTATTACGACATACAGGAGTGAGTCAATAGTGCGGGGACGGAAGATAAAATAAAAGAATGTTTATATGTCATCAAATATTACCATCAAAGCTGCGTTTTCAGATATGCTTAACTTAATTTAAAATGGAACCCATTGTATTTCTTTACATAATATGCTGATTAGCTATCTTAAATGCTACAACTGTATATCTTGTTTTCAATTTTTGTATGCAAGGTTACAAGTTATTAATCATTTTGCAAAAATTTTTGAAAATTCATGTTACATTACTTTTTATTCGAAGTATTATCCATCCTACTTTCTGGCAGGATTCGGATACCACGTCGGAAGAAATCCCGTACTATTGACTCACCCTGTATATTGTAAATAAATTATTTGTGTATTAAGATAAAAGCGAAAACTGAATTATTTAATAACGAAAATCCAAACGCGAATGTGACAAATTAAAATTATATTATTAATCTACTATTATATTATATAGCAACAAAAAAAAAGTATTCCAACACAATAGATTCATTGATTTATAAAAAATGTAACCATGTGGGTTTACCCTTAAATCCCCGGGATACGTAGGGGGAGAAAACTAGGTCAAGGTCATTCGGCATGATCCCACTAAGCTCTCTCCAGCAGGACACCGAAAACAGAACAAACCGGGATTGTTCTTTTTAGGCGGATTTAACAAAGAAGTTTACAATAATTCCCAAATCCTCTTTACTCGATTCTTACAAGATTAAAAAGAAATCAAATTTTACTTACCTGCATAACGTGTTGGTCAATTTTCGTATGTGGCGATGAAAGACATACGAAGCTGACTCCGTGATCGTGGATAAGCGGTTGAACGGGATGGTAATCGTCCACGTCGCATTCGTATTCTTGATCCAACTCGATCTTTTCAGCGGGATATGCAGACAGGACTCGTTGCTTTTGAGTCACCGTCGACCTGAAACATCGTAAGGAGTAAATCGAAAATGTCTAAATTCGCGAACTAAACACATTTTATTTTACGTTTAAATTTTTGTACGTACTTTAAATAATCAAGTAGAGTAAAAGTGGAAGATAAACGATTTCTTGAATGATAGTGCTGATGGCACAGTGCGATATGATCCATAACCGCTTGGGTTCGATAAACTTTTTCCAAATTGATGAGACCTCCGGGTCCTATGGGCCGGAAGTGTTGGTCCTCGCCGTTATAATCTGATATAAACTGAAATTACACTCAGCTTTAAAACAAAAAGTGATTAAAAACAATTTTTTACACATTAATCAAGTTTTCTTCTTGAAGATATTTAGATCGGATGCAAGTAGTTTCCGCCGGCCTACAGCTATCATAAAAACTTACTGGAGACCGAAAGAAACCCCTGCACCCAAAATCCAAATTAATCTTAAATAAATACAAGAAAAATGTTAAAACAAAAACAACTTACGACTTGTCTTTGTTGTTGTTGGTCCCTTTCTTGTCTTCTAACATCCGATTTTTGAATCTTATGCGGAATCATCGGAGATGGTTCATTTCCGCTTACTGTAGTATTCGTTTGAGTTTCATGTAGAAGCGGACTTGATAAGATTTCTCTTAATTCGCGTAAAAATGCCCCAAAAAATGGCACAACCGGACATTCGGCCATCGCTAACGCCCTGCTAAGAGCTCGATCATATTCCGCAGAGAGCAAAGCCGCCGACAAAAAATCCAAAACCGGAAGCGTCTCTTTCTCAGTAATCGATAACCAAAATGGTTTAAGTTTATTCGATCTAAAAAAATAAATTAATTAATACCACGATAACATTAAAAATTTATTTATTATATTTATTGATTCGATTATATTTAAGATTTTATTAGAAATCTCAAGCAAGTAGTTTCCGCCGGCCTACAACGACCTAAACACAGCTGAAGGCCGAAAGAAACCCCTACCCGAGGTTCCCAGACGAAGATCTTCGTTCTGTTTTCAACCCCGTTTTGTGCGAACTCAATTTACGCCAGACCCCGAAATTGGATTATTCACGACGTTAAATCAATTTAACAGAGCTGCTCTTCTAAGAGAATAGCTCAAACGTTACGATTCTTGACGTTTCAAGACCAAGAACACCGCCCAATTATCCTTTGATTAACATAATTCACTCTTTTATATTAAGATTAAGAAAACGTCAAGTTTAAAAATGATTTAGAAAAATCGCCGAGTTATGTTTTTATTACGTGGATAAGAATTAAAGGTTATTACGTTGAAATTGGATAGATGTGCCCTTTGTTCATTACCTTAGTTATGAGGAGACGTGATATCGATCCTAACTTGGAGAGCACAAATTTGTAAAAAGATACTTTTTTGTCAAATAAGAAATGTTATTGACTTTTTGTAAACTTGAAGATGGTGGATTTTTGGTTATAAACGCTTATTTAATAAAGTTAAATCCAAATACAACGAAATATCTCAACATGAGGAGAGGATTAAGACAAGGAGATGCCTTGTCTTGTAATCTATGTAAGCATTCACTAAAATAAAATAGAAGAGGTGTTCTGGATCCGAGTCAATCATCAATGGTTGTCCATTAAACAACGTCTCCATCTCCATTGTACTATATTCTTTTATGGGATCTTGAAGAGTGGTGTCCAGGTGTACTTATATGAACGGTTACAACTGATTATGAGAAGAGAGACTCATGAGGTTAATATACGTATAAGAAACGACTTAGATTAGACACTTAGGTACACCAAGAAGTTCTACAATAGACAAAATAGATGAGAAGTTTATGTCTTTTATTTTATATAGAATTTAAGTCTAACTGGATTCAGCCCTTGTCCATCTTCAGAAACTCTACAAATAAATTAACATCTCTCATCTTATCCATTTTACAAACGACAGCGGTAATAATAAGCGTTTTATTGGTCTCTTAATATTTACAATTTTTCCTTTAATACATTCTAATATACAGTGCGTTTCAAAAGTAACGGATAAATTCGATAAAATCATCACAAACAATTTATGAAAAAATCGCTGAAACGGGTCTAAATTTTTTGCAATTTTTTGCCATTTTTAAACGAGTTATGACGTCATCGAAGTTTTTCTTAACTGGAACACCCCATTTTTTATATCGGAATTTGAAAGAGGATTTTCTTCTAAATTATGTACAATAAATATTAATACAGTTACATAAGAAAATTTTCGAGAAAAATTAATTTAAAGTTTCATTATTTCCCATTCATTTGACATAGAGAATAGCAGTAGCAATGCGTAACCATGGCAACCAATTGTTTTGATTTGACATTTCCAGGTGTCAAAATTCAATTTGAATGAATTATTTATTTAAATTAATTATTATTACTATTATACTTGCGATACAAAAAAAGTAGCAATAGCTTGTTGCAGCAGATGAAATTAATTGATAAAAAATTATATTTTTCATTATCTGTAACGCTGTTAATTTGTAACCATTTTTGATGAAATTTGGTATATGCCCATCTCAAACGGCGCTTAATGCAGTGGTGTACTCAGATTTTTTCTAAAAAATTTCCTAATATGATTTCTTCATTTTTTACACATAAAAAGTGAAATAGTAGACCTAGTTTTTTTTAAGAAAAACATGACTCTTTGTCCTAAGGTACAGTTTTTTACGATCTACATTCAAAAAAACATTTATCGAAATCGGATAATAAATACAAATTTTACGAAGGTGTTCCGCTTTCAAATGGGTCACACTGTGTATTCGGGTTTTAGGTTATTTAAATTTGCAGCAATATTGGAGATTTTAAATCAAAACAATTGGTTGTACACTAATAGTATCACTAGAACTAACACAAGACCTAGAACTAGAATCATTCGGGTTTAGCCGTCTTGAGAGACGTGGGACTAAATCCGAATATTTCTAGTTCTAGGTCTAGTGTTACACTAATACTATCACTAGCACTAACACAGAGAGACGTAGGACTAAATTCGAATGTTTCGAGTTATCGGTCTAGTGTTCGTTCTAGTGGCAGTGATAGATAGCGCTAGTTAGCATACGTTGTATATTTTTATTGAACTACAACTAGAACGAGAACTAGAAACATTCGGGTTTAATCGTGAAAAAAACTGTCAGTTATCAATGTCAACTTTAATTTTATTATTATATTCGTAATCTTCATAAAATAACCTTTAAAGTGAATCTAAACTTAACGCATTTATCTCATAAAACCAAAAAGTTCGAACTTTCAACTTTTAACTTCGACATATTTATCAACTTCATAAAAAATCCTTTAAAATGAGTCCAAACTCGACATATTTAACTTTAATATTAATGGAAATACAACCACTTCCGGTTTGAAACGTCAACGTCAATTTTGACATATTTGTAATCGCCGTGAAAAATCCTTTAAAATGAGTCCAAACAAGACGCACTTATCTCAAAAAACAAAAAAGTTAGAATAAAAAAATATTAAACCCGAAGTTGGCAACAATGAAGATAGCAAATTAATTTTTAAATATTAATACCAACCTTAATTTTTTATTTTTTTTTATTATATTTTTGTTTTTGTGACAAATATTAAGACATTTTATAAAAATTAAGAATATGTCAAAATGACGTTGACATTTCAAACCGGAAGTTGCTTTTATCTCGAGTAATATTGGAATTAAGCGTATCATGTTTGGACTCATTTTAAAGGATTTTTCACGACGATTACAAATATGTCAAAATTGACGTTGACATTCTTAACCGGAAGTTGACCATAACTTCATTAATATTGAAGATAAATATGTCGTGTTTGTACTCATTTTAAAGGATTTTTAATGAAGATTACAAATATGTCAAAATTGAGGTTGACATTTTAATCCTGAAGTTAGCTATCATATAATAGAAGTTTTATAACTGAAGTTAATCTAGTGTTAGTCACTTTTCCGCACTTTCTTTTTATTTTAACGTGTTTTTTGGGTCATTTAACGTTGATTAAAAAAAAATCGTTGATTTTTAAGTCACATGATTATTCTTGAATTTTTCCCAACATTCTTAATATTACTTTTGTTAAAAAGACCGCTCTTAAATTTTAATCTGCAAACTTGTAACACTTTGTCCTTAATTTCATTTTACAACTTTTTAAACTTTAATTTGGACATTAGTAAATAATAATTTGATTTAATAATAATAACAATAATAAATGCCTTTATTGCACAAAAAATTGAATACAACAAAACAAAAAAATATATAATAATAACAAAAATTCTATCTATACTGTAGATATACTCTAAACTAGAGTGTTTAAACAACAATAAATCAAAAAAAATCAGTACCTTACAATACAAAAAAAACGAAAAGGAAAAAAGTGGCATTGTGCAATAGGGGGGTTCCAGATAAAATCTGTACAACCAATCTTACCACAAACAAAAACTTAATATTAATTATATTACACGCGTACCACCACAACGACAATACAATTTCTCGAATATTCCTCCCTCTCTTGCTCTGAACGTTAAAAAAAAAGCATTCATATGATTAAGGCTGCACATTGCTCCAGAAATTTATCTTTATATAATGTTTTTTTTGAAATTATTGATGTTTAGTTTTTTGATCATAGGCGGCAACGTTCCATATGACTTATATATTATGTCATATATAACAGATCTGTGAAACAAAGAGGTTCTGTATTTTGGTGGATATACACCATATTTTAATCTCGTCTGCAGAGCATTGTCGCCGTTTTAACAGTAATTTTCTCATACAAGTTTGTCGGTATATGTGTTGTGACGATTTTATGAAACAAAACCAAACTGTGCAACTCTCGGCGGGTATCCATTCTGTGCCACCCAACATCTTTAAGTTTGTGGGAGATTCTGTCATACTTCCGGATTCCAAAAATGAACCTAAGGCAACTATTTTGAACTTTTTGTATGTGATTCGATTTTTCACCCTGTATAATGTGTTAAACATGATAAAAATAGACAAGCATCAAATAATTTTCAATAGTTTGAGTTTGTCTATTCTGAGAGGTCTTATATTTTTAGAGAGATGATTTTTCTCAACATTGTTCATTTGTAACTTAGTAAAGTGATGCATAACGCGGTCCAATTAAAAGAAAACCTCTTTGAAATGATGTAACTTAGTGAGAACGATGATAAATATTTAATCGCCTAACTAAAGGTTGGTTTTATAACGCAATTGCCTCCCGGAATTAACTTTATGAAAACGATTCATCCCTTAAACTCATTTGTACCGCATACGAAGCCGTTAAACTTTTACAATTTCTCATCGTTAAAAGTTCCCTGATCATTATTAGTCTCTGTTGCGTTTAATTAAAAATCATCATTCCTAAAGGGGAATGAAATAACCAATAAAAAAGAATTTGAAAATTCGTTTTATCACAAACCAAAAGAAAATCCAATACGGGACGTATCCGATTATAACTTGTTCCAACTAGTTTCAAAAGCTTTCAAAGTCTGAAGACGCACGGCTAAACCCGAAACTTTCTAGTTCCAGCTCTAGTGTTAATTCTAGTTTTACACTAGCACAGTTACTATGTAGAATTAACACTATACCTAGAACTAGAATCATTTGGGTTTAGCCGCACGCCTCGAAAGACGGCTAAACCCGAATGATTCTAGTTCTAAGTATAGTGTTAGTTTTAGTTTTACACTAGTACTATCACTAAAAGTAACACTATATCTAGAACTAGAATCATTTGGGTTTAGCCACACGTCTCTAAAGACGGCTAAAACCGAATGATTCTAGTTCCAGGTATAGTGTTAGTTCTAATTTTACACTAGCACTGTTACTATGTAGAATTAACACTATACCTAGAACTAGAATCATTAGGGTTTAGCCACACGTCTCTAAAGACGGTTAAACCTGAATGATTCTAGTTCTAGGTCTAGCACTGTATAACAATTAAAACTAGAACTAACACTAGACTTAGAACTAGAAACATTCGAGTTTAGCCGCACGTCTCTCAAGACGGCTAAACCCGAATGATTCTAGTTCTAGGTCTAGTGATAGTGCTAGTCTAAAACTGGAACTAACACTAAACCTAGAACTGAATTATTTCCCTTAACCTCACATTCAACGTAAATCCAAAATGTCAAAATGACGTTAAATTGGTTAAACAAAAAATCACTAGATTTATGTTGGTAACAATTATATTTTGAAGTTCGTCTGAAGACGCACGGCTAAACCCGAAACTTTTTAGTTCTAGTGTTAGTTCTATTTTTAGTNTCAACATTGTTCATTTGTAACTTAGTCAAGTGATGCATAACGCGGTCCAATTAAAAGAAAACCCCTTTGAAATGATGTAACTTAGTGAGAACGATGATAAATATTTAATCGCCTAACTAAAGGTTGGTTTTATAACGCAATTGCCTCCCGGAATTAACTTTATGAAAACGATTCATCCCTTAAACTCATTTGTACCGCATACGAAGCCGTTAAACTTTTACAATTTCTCATCGTTAAAAGTTCCCTGATCATTATTAGTCTCTGTTGCGTTTAATTAAAAATCATCATTCCTAAAGGGGAATGAAATAACCAATAAAAAGAATTTGAAAATTCGTTTTATCACAAACCAAAAGAAAATCCAATACGGGACGTTTCCGATTATAGCAGAACTTGTTCCAACTAGTTTCGAAAGCTTTCGAAACTAAAATTCAAAAGTGAATTTAGAACGGCTTTTGCGCACACATTCCAGACACGCGCGTTCTAAAATTGCGGTGTAAAATAAAAATAAAAAGGAGAAAAAGCCAACATTTTTTTTTAAAAAAACATTATTAGAAACTTTTTTATTGATTATAACAGAGCCATAATCCAAATTTCGAGGGTTGATTTACGAGATGGTAAGAAGTTAAGCTCCTTTTGCGATTTGAATACGCTCGACCTTGAACTTTACCACCCCCTAAAAAGCCGCCGTTGAACGAAGAAGAGAGAAAACTATAAATCATATCAACTTCTAAATGCGGAAGAGAGGTTCTTCCGGCGCTATTAAAACGCTCGAAATAACAAAATTATTCATGAAAAATTAAAAACTTTCTCACTTGAGGCCCGCGATGATTTCCATCGCCCCGTTGAAGTTTCCGATATTCCACGAGGACAAAGCGACTCGAAGGACACACGATAAAACTGCTCTTCTTGCATCGTGAGTTGGTTGGGATATAATTAATTGTGTTATCCAAGCGCTAACCTAAAAAGTTTATAAAAAATTAACCATTAGATGTAATAAATCGAATTTTCTTTTTAATTAACCTCATTAAAACGTTTAATTAGTGTTGCTACTGATGATCTTGCTGTTGAGGAGTTCCCTGAAAGAGTTTCTGATGAAGTTCCGGTGCCTCCGCCTAAATCTAACGTCACCTGACGGAGGTAATCAATCGGTGGGACCTAAAACGAATAAATTTCAATCTTTTTTTAAACTTTATTTTATTTTCTTAATTTATATGTAAATGCGAGTCCCGCAAAGTCTTTTAGAAATCGGGAAACGGGGTTGTTCCTCGTTTTTGCGGGATTAAAGGACTTAATTGTGAATCGGCGTTTAATAGAATTTAAATTTGTGCTTTATCGTATTTTTACCTGGTAAAAGAGTTGGTATTCTGTGTCAGCCAAGCGTAAAGCGACCTCTTCGGGAAAGTGTAATAATTCTTGCAGCTCCTCCAGCTCTGCGCAGTAATTGCTCTGCGCTGCAAGAGGGTACCTCTTCTCCAGCTCTAAAAAGAAAAATGTTAAACGTACAAAATTTGCTTGAAAAATATTATTTTAGATTCAATATGGAAATGTTCCGGGAACTCTCCAACGATACATCAAAATTTCCTATCCCATAAATTAGGGTCACGTCGACTTGAATAGACGAAAATATTGGAAAGGAAATCGATTTTTTAAGGAAATGATTGGCGTTTTTTAAATATTCATACGTTTAAAGCTATACTTTGTTTTTATTAACAAAAAAATTCACAAAACATAAAATATATTATTTAAAGAGGATATCTCCGGTACATCATGAAATTCATTTTGACCTCTGTTTAGATACTATGGAATATACAAAACACAAAAGTACAATTATTAAATTATTATTAAAATTATTAGACACCCTGTATCGCTTTAATACCAGTACACAGCCTTATCTAGCGAAGATATCAAAAAATGTTATTAAGAAAAATCATTCATAATCTAATTCTAAGTAAATATTGTTTCAAAAGTTTTATGATACAACTCATAATTATTGATATATCCGCAAAAACATTAATTTGAGTACCTATAGACAACGATATCTAGCGGAGATTTTCAAAATTTTTATTTGAATAATTATTTAGAATATAATTCTAAACAACTATTATTTAAAACAATTTTTAATATAACCAAGATTATGTACAAAATAACGAATCACCCTGTATTTGATTTTATACCAGTGTACAGCCTTCCCTGGTGAAGATATCGAAAAACTTTATTAAGATAAATTATTCGCAACTTAATTTTAAGTAAATATTGTTTGAAATTTTTTTTGATAAAACTCATAATTATTGACATAATCTCAAAAATATTGATTTTTATACCTATACATAACGATATCTAAGGGAGATTTTCAAAATTTCTATTTGAAAAAAGTATTTAAAATGTTATTCTAAACAACTACTATTTGAAACAATTTTTAATGTAATCAGTATTTACCAAGTTGTACCACCCTGTATTTCAATTTATACAAGTGTACAGCCTTCCATGGCGAAGATATCGAAAAACTTTATTAAGATAAATCATTCACAACCTAATTTTAAGTAAATATTGTTTGAACATTTTTTTGATAAAACTCATAATTATTGACATAACCTCAAAAATATTGATTTTTATACCTATACATAACGATATCCAGCGGAGATTTTCAAAATTTCTATTTGAAAAAGCTATTTAAAATGTTATTCTAAACAATTATTATTTGAAACAATTTTTAATAGGACCAATATTTACCAAGATTATGTACAAAATAGCGAATCACCCTGTATTTCATTTTATACCAGTGCACAGCCTTCCCTGGCGAAGATATCGAAAAACTTTATTAAGATAAATCATTCGCAACCTAATTTTAAGTAAATATTGTATGAATTTTTTTTTGATAAAACTCATAATTATTGACATAACCTCAAAAATATTGATTTATATACCTATACATCACGATATCTAGCGGAGATTTTCAAAATTTTTATTTGAAAAAAGTATTTAAAATGTTATTCTAAACAACTATTATTTGAAACAATTTTTAATATAATCATAATTAAATATTATATTAATTTAAATAACTAAGAATGGAATGTACGATGTTATTTTATTAATGTGTTAATGTTACCTATTTTATCAATTAATTACTAACGTTTAAATAAAAATAAAATCATTTGAACTTAGTGATAATAATTTTATTATAACCATTTTATTTTTTCTATATCTTAACATATGAAACTTTTAACAAATATTTTTCCAATTGATCTGAATCTACTGAGGATGGCTCCTTAGTATGAGTCGAAACTGATAAAGATTATAATAAAATTATTATCACTAAGTTCAAATGATTTTATTTTTATTTAAACATTGTTTTATTAAGCCGAGGTCGCTTGGGGCCGAAGTCTGATGTCCAAAATGGTATTAAATGTAAAGTCTCCGTCACAAGCGATTTTGGCTTAATAGAATAATATAATCCGAGGTGCTGCAATTGATATCATATACTCTAATATGGAAAGTACGATGTTATTTTATTAAGTCTCGGTCGCACGCAATCTCGGCTTAATAGAAAATCATAAGTTGAGGCACTACAATTGATATCATATACTCTACTGCCTCAGCCGTAAGCAACCTCGGCTTAATAAAATGATATGGTACTTTCCATTGTCTGTTGTCTAACATGGTATTAAATGTAGAGTCCCGGTCACAAGCGATTTTGGCTTAATAGAATAATATAATCCGAGGTGCTACAATTGATATCATACACTCTAATGCCTCGCCCGCAAGCGACCTCGGCTTAGGATGGAAAGTACGTGTGTGATATAAGCGTATGTGATATTATTTTGATATCACGCTAATGCCTCGGNCACGTCTCTAAAGACGGCTAAACCCGAATGATTCTAGTTCTAAGTATAGTGTTAGTTCTAGTTTTACACTAGTACTATCACTAAAAGTAACACTATACCTAGAACTAGAATCATTTGGGTATAGCCGCACGTCTCTAAAGACGGCTAAACCTGAATGATTCTAGTTCTAAGTATAGTGTTAGTTCTGGTTTTACACTAGTACTATCACTAAAAGTAACACTATACCTAGAACTAGAATCATTTGGGTTTAGCCGCACGTCTCTAAAGACGGCTAAACCCCAATGATTCTAGTTCTAAGTATAGTGTTAGTTCTAGTTTTACACTAGTACTATCACTAAAAGTAACACTATACCTAGAACTAAAATCGCACATCTCTAAAGACGGATACGTTCATAACAACAGCGTTCATAGGGAGTTGGATAACCTTATACAATATATTTACTCAACGGACCTTGATTCTGTGCTTTTGGTAACTCGTGATAAGATGGTGGATTTTAAATCGAGGTCACAAAACGAGGTGCCTCCAACATCAAACGAATCGACGTCAGTGTCATTTCTGGTTATTATGTGCTCAAACTATTAAAAATTGTTTGATGCTTGTCTATTTTTATCACAGAACACATTATACAGGGTGTTTCTGTATGTCGTTTCATAAAATTAACCACAAATACTAGAGTCAAAATGACGATTCGTGTAAAAACGTTTGAAGAAAATAATCTAGAGTTTGATTTTGTACTTTTAAAGTGGTTTTTATTTTATATAGAATTTAAGTCTAACTAGTTTCGGTCCTTGGTCATCTTCAGATAAAATCATTATGGAAAAATCCCTAAGGATTTAAATTTTTTGCAATCTTTTGGTGTAGATTTCTATTTTTTCCGCCATTTTTTAACGAGTTATGACGTCATTAATATTTTTGTCAAACGGCAATCCACCATTTTTATTACGGAATATGAAAGTGGATCTTTTTCAAAATCTAGTACACTCAATATTAATATTATTATATTTTCGAGAGAAATTACTTTAAAGATTATAACTTCGTCAAATTTGCTTGACGTGATCCAACCAAGTATTTTAAACAATTTCCTAAGTGTCAAAAACTCATCATTCCTAAACGGAAATGAATTAAGCAATAAAAAAGAATTTGAAAATTCTTCGTTTTATAACAAATCAAAAAAGAAAAATCCAATACGGGACGTTTCCGATTATAGCAGAACTTGTTCCAACTAGTTTCGAAAGCTTTCGAAACTAAAATTCAAAAGTGAATTTAGAACGGCTTTTGCGCACACATTCCAGACACGCGCGTTCTAAAATTGCGGTGTAAAATAAAAATAAAAAGGAGAAAAAGCCAACATTTTTTTTTAAAAAAACATTATTAGAAACTTTTTTATTGATTATAACAGAGCCATAATCCAAATTTCGAGGGTTGATTTACGAGATGGTAAGAAGTTAAGCTCCTTTTGCGATTTGAATACGGTCGACCTTGAACTTTACCACCCCCTAAAAAGCCGCCGTTGAACGAAGAAGAGAGAAAACTATAAATCATATCAACTTCTAAATGCGGAGAGGTTCTTCCGGCGCTATTAAAACGCTCGAAATAACAAAATTATTCATGAAAAATTAAAAACTTTCTCACTTGAGGCCCGCGATGATTTCCATCGCCCCGTTGAAGTTTCCGATATTCCACGAGGACAAAGCGACTCGAAGGACACACGATAAAACTGCTCTTCTTGCATCGTGAGTTGGTTGGGATATAATTAATTGTGTTATCCAAGCGCTAACCTAAAAAGTTTATAAAAAATTAACCATTAGATGTAATAAATCGAATTTTCTTTTTAATTAACCTCATTAAAACGTTTAATTAGTGTTGCTACTGATGATCTTGCTGTTGAGGAGTTCCCTGAAAGAGTTTCTGATGAAGTTCCGGTGCCTCCGCCTAAATCTAACGTCACCTGACGGAGGTAATCAATCGGTGGGACCTAAAACGAATAAATTTCAATCTTTTTTTAAACTTTATTTTATTTTCTTAATTTATATGTAAATGTGAGTCCCGCANGATGTTGTTTTGATACCACTCTAATTAATTCTAAGAAAAGTACGTTGTCATTTTATTAGAAATTTTATTACGAGCTCATTAGAGAATTGTAGCGCCTCGGTCGCAAGCGACCTCGGCGTAATAAGATAATTTTTCCGAGGTTGCTCACGGTATTATATTCTAGTATATAATAGCATCGAGACACTTATCACAACAACCACACTGTATAATAATAATTTAAATAATTCAAAGCACGTAAATTATTTTCTTCCCGCTTTTATTTTTTCCATTTTTTTTGACGTTGACGGAAATGTTTTATTTTGCAAGTTGGGTTTCCCCCTTTTTTTTATTTTTCGGCCGTGAGGGGTGTCAGCCCGGGTCAACCCCGTAAAAAAAGGATAAAAAAAGGAAGTCTAATGAATTCTGATATGGCATATTCATCAAAACCCCAACGTAATATCAAGAAAATTCCAACCGAATCGCGGTAAATTACACGTCCGTTTTCCGGTATGACGAATTTATGGTGGAGGCGTCGAGTGCAAGACAACGTTAATCCACCCCTGGAAAATCAACTAAACTTGGTGCACCGTCGTGTGAAATTAAA